ATATAATTTGGGATAAATTATGATGGGTATTTCTCGTGAGTGAGATTCCTTTTGCAGAATCATTTGAATCCACTTTGCTCGAGTCTCTCACCGCTGTGAATGCGCAGGTGCTCTTTGAGGTGATGCTTGTATTTAAAGGCCTTTCCACACTGATTGCACTTGAACTTTCTGCTCTCCAGACCGGGCTCAGACATGGAGTTCTGGAAGGAAGAGACGTGAAATCATGAGCATGCTGTGTTTCTGTTTGTGTGCGGTTAGTTATGCATGCATCTGATGTCAGCACCTTGTCGTGAGTCTGGTGGAGGCTCAGGTGTCGCTCCATCTGAGCGCGGTACGGCGTACTGTATCCGCACAGAGGACAAGCGCAGTCTCCTCCATCCCTGACGTCCTGACAGAACTTCATGTGTTCCTGCAGAGACGCGTCGCGCCGGTACGTCCGCTGGCAGTATGGACACGTCTGAACGGCGTCAGGGTTTAAAGCTCCACCGTCTACACAGAGAGATTCATCTTTAAATAAATAAACAGTCCTTTTTCACATTTCTGTGTTTCTCAGCAGCGGAAGTCGTCATAGTTGGGTTTACTTCGAGAGCAGTGAATGGGAGAGTACCACAAATATGTGACCCTGAATCACAAAACCAGTCTTAAGGGTCACTTTTTCTGTAGTTGAGATGATTCTGAATAAATAAGCTTTCCATTGATGTATGGTTTGTTAGGATAGCACAATATTTGGCTGAGATACAACTATTTGAAAATCTGGAATCTGAGGGTGCAAAAAAATCTAAATATTGAGAAAATCATCTTTAAAGTTGTTCAAATGAAGCTCTTAGCAATGCATATTACTAATCAAACATTAAGTTTTGATATAGTTACGGTAGAAACACCCTCGCATTAGCGTTAACTAGTTTACTTGTCATTTGATGCAAAGGTGATATAATACAAAGTATGGTGTTATAAATGTACATACATTTAAAAAAAAATCTGAATATAAAAAACTTTCGAGGATTTACGATGCAGGCACAGTCTTTTGAAAAGTGTCCAATCAGTGATTGTAACGTTATTTAAAGGTTACAGAAACATTTCTTAGAACGTTCTACTGTTATTTTTACCCAAAATATTCTTTTTACGTTTATTTTTAATATTCTAAGAGCGTTAAAATGTTCTTTGTGTTTTAATGTTATTTAAATGTTACATTTTCTTACAACATTCTACTCATTTTATTTTTACCCAGAAGATAACATTGAGTGTTTTTTTATTGTCTAAGAACGTTAAAACGTCATTTAAAGGTTAAAAAACATTACTTAGAACATTCAAGTACAAATAATTTTTATCAGAATGTTGTTCTAAGAACATTTTCTCTCAATGTTATAAGAATGTATATTAAATACTAATAAAGTTAAGAACATTCCATAAGCATGACATTTTGTCCTAACATTTATATAACTTAATTATAATAAACGTTAGTGTAAGTTGAGAGAACGCTGCCTGTTAGCTGGGATGAGTAAATGATGACAGAATGATAATTTTTTGTATGAATCATTTCTTTAAAGTGGTCATGCATTGGAGAAACAAAATGTTCTTGATATTTAAACTAGTGTTAATTTTGGCACCCATTTTTAATTTAATCGTAGTCTTAGTCATGTCTCAAACGTATGTTTTAGTTATTATCATAATTAGTCAACTTTGTCAGTTGAGTAAGTGCATTTATTCAGCGATCACAATCTCAAGCAATACAGTCGAGATGATAGAACCGTCTTAGTGACAATTTTATTTAGATCGCTAACCTCTAGTTTGTTTGAGGCGTGTACAGCAGTCCGCAATAATATTTTGTCTCCTTTTTTTGACAAAAATGACGAGATTTTGTTAAAGTTTGTATTTTTTGAACTTAAACGAAATTGCATGTTGATATAGTCATAGTTATCATTTATTGACCTTATTATTGTGTCGTCATCGTCTCGTTTTAGTCATGGGAAAAGTCAACCAACATTTTGCGTCATAGTTTTAGTTAACAAAATATACACTAATTTACACATATGAGAAGCTGTTATAGTAAAAACACAGAAAAAGGTTTTTTTTAAGAGAGAAATCCACATGTAATGCTCATTTAATATGCAAAGATGTCAGCCAATCATATCAGTGGGCGTTTACATTGAAGTCTCACAGAAGACACGCCCCTTCAAATCGACTATTTCTTTCTAAAATGACCATTTATATCTAAATGTTGACTGTTTTTAATGAAAAGCCATACTCTGATTATAATTGCACAACAGGACCGATTATAAAATAATCAAAAAAATGAATTGACAAGCTCTACTAGTTGACCTTTGCCCTCGGGCGACTCGTGTTCTCCGGGTGACCAGCAGACGGGCGACATGTTGCGGTGAACGCCGTCTAAATGGTACGAGCTGACGGATCCGTTGCATTGTTGAGCGTGAATCGGGCTGAGCAAATGCGACACAGAGTCATAATGTGGTGCGCCGTCCATCACACGAGCATCAGCCTGACCTGAAAGAGACACATGCATCAACATTATCATCACGCTACTGGATTACATTACAAAAACAGGCTGAAAGATAAACAAACATTAGTGTTTTCATCTTAACTTTTAAATGCAAGTCATATTAAAGTTTAAAAACATGTTTACTTTTATCTAAAGATGATATATGTGACCCTGGAGCACAAAACCAGTCAAAAGGCTAAATTTTTTAAAATTGAGATGTATACAGCATCTGAACGAATTAATAAATAAGCTTTCCAGTGATGTATGGTTTGTTAGGATTGGACAATATTTGAAAATCTGGAATCTGAGGGTGCAAAAAAATCTAAATATTGAGAAAATCATCTTTAAAGTTGTCCAAATGAAGTTCTTAGCAATGCATATTACTAATCAAACATTAAGTTTTGATATATTTACGGTAGGAAATTTACAAAATATCTTCATGGAACATGATCTTTACTTAATATCCTAATGATTTTTGGCATAAAAGAGAAATGTATAATTGTGACCCATACAATGTATTGTTGGCTATTGCTACAAATATCCCCCAGCGACTCAACACTGCTTTTGTGCTCCAGGGTCACA